AAGAGAACGGAAGGAGTCCAGAGCCAGCTCCGCAGCTGCACTATGTGTAGAAGATGATCTCTGGGATTTGTCCATCCTCCACGGAAGTGCCGTTGTTGTTCCCAGCCGCGTAACAGAACGTAAAGCAGGTTTTGGCTCCCGTCGTTGGCGATTCGTGGATCACTTTGCGCAGTCCTTTGGTTCCGTAGTGGGAATCTGGACCCTGCGACGGTCACAAAAGACACGAAGGGATGAGGGCAGGGACTGCGGCCCGGCAGGCCCCTGCCGGGAGGTTCAGCCTCAGCCTGGCCCCAAGCGACGAGCTTTGGGCATCTCACAGATGGGACCTTGAAGATCACCTTGTTCCAACCCCCCTGCCGTGGGCAGGGACACCTCTCTGCCACCAGCCCAGGTTGCTCCAAGCCCCGTCCAACCTGGCCTTGAATCCTTCCAGGGATGGGGCATCCTTGGGCAGCCTGTGCTGGTGCTTCACCCCTCTCTGGGGAAGAATTTCTTCCTTAGATCGAATCTACATCTCCTCTCTTGAAGTTTCAAGCCATTGCCCCTTGTCCTATCACTACAGGCCCATGTAAAAAGCCCTCCTGTCTCTGGCTTTTGTACCTCAGGTATTCTGAGCAAAGCTCTTGTCCTTGTCAGACCTTAACACTACGTTTAACCAGATCTCAACAGTTAAAAATCAACTGTTTTGGAGCTGCTGCAGGCAGGCTCTGGATTGCACACTTGCAGAAGCAACAATTTGTCTGTAACATCCGCAAAAACCACCCCATCCCTCGATCCCTAACGCAGCCTGATCGTTATTGCAAACTCGCAAGACAAGTTCAAAACCGACTCCGAACGCCAGCGGCGAACGTGGGCATCGCACCACCAGGCGAAGGACTACCCAGCAAACCTTCCAGATTCTATCACACACCTTGAAAAACGCAGAGAGAGAATGAAGTTGTGCTGAGGGGACTACAGAAACCTCCCGTCCCTGCGACTCTTCTACCCGCCCCGAGCTGGTACCTTTAGAGTAGCGCACGCTGTGTAGTTGACGTTGGGTAAAATCTCAACAGGTTCCTTGAACATGACCCGGAAAGTGTTTGATGAACCGTCACAGCTGAACCCCGTGTCGTTCTGGCCCAGAACCGTGTTACTGTCCGTGTGGATGATCTGTAAGACACGTGATAAACTGAATTAGCACAGTGAGTCGAGCGCTGCCCTGTCCCCGAGCTGGAGCAAAGCTGAGGGACTCGGTGGTTTGATCAGCCCCGTTACAACTGCGCTACCCCACGCCCTGTGACCATGGGCTCGGGTCCCAGGCAGCCCAGGACGAGCCCTCCTTGCCGTGACGCCAAGCAGAGGACCACAGGCTGTCGTTGTGCGCTTAGAACTTCACTTGCCTTTCTTCTCCAAGAGCTCAGGGGCACCAGGAGGAGACCCTGACGACTACAGAAGAAGCACCGACAGACTGTGCTCATCACCTCAGCTGTGCTGGGGGAACCTCTCTGGGGATAGTTCTGCTCAAGAGACCCAGGCTGGGCTCACATACGTGCGGCCAGAATGAAGGACACGAGATTTCCTTAACCTGCCCCAGTCTTTGAACAAAATCACAGCAACCGAGTCTCCCTCGGTCCTATTCATCATCTCAAAGGGGACGCTGACAGCGTAAGGCCGCACGCTGGCACGGCCCCGCCACAACCGCCTTCTCCTCTGCCCTGAGTCGCGGCAGCTCCAAGGACAACCTGCCGGGCACAATCAGCCTGGCCTGCTTGGCGTGGGCGAACACCCACAGCTCGTTCTCAAGCCACGTCACAACTCTCCGAGTCGTCTTTTCGCGGGCGGCGAGCCGACGTGGGGAGATCCCGCGGTGACGCAGGCAACGGGAGCTGCATAGATTCGAGAGCGATAATCCCTCTTATCCCCAGTGCCCCATCTGGCCCTCGCTGCATCCGCCACCTGCCCGGCCAGGAACCAAGCACAGTCCCTTCTCACTTCAGGTTTTGTTGCACATTCACTGAAACGCGTTAAGCTAGCCCCGAGAGCAGCAAATGCTTTTACCATAGTAGTTACCTGTATATTTACTTGGTAATCCGTTGGCCCATGTATGGATCCGTATAATCCAAACCCAACTACAAATATCCTTTTGTTTACTGAGAACCTGCAGGAACAGATCAGGGAAAGTCAGGCCGACTCGCCATCGGTTTAGTACAAGGACAAGACACAAGTATCTTCACTCACTTTCATTTTAGACCTACGATTTAATCACATTTTAAGGGCAACTCTCAGTAGTAAGAGAAACTGTCATTTGCCACTTTTGACCGCCCTAAGGGGCCGGCAATAATTTTATTTGTTCACATAAAACGCCACGCTGCATGATCCCATCCCCAAACTGCAGGGTCAGAAAGCATTTTGACACCGTGGTACAGAAACACCGGCCTGGCACGGGCAGGGCAGCACCCAAAATACTGACCCAGCACAGAGCACTTCAAGGGTCATCGGATACTTCACTGCCGAGCGCTGGGGAATTGTTATCGCACTTCTGATCATCTGCTGGGTACGGCTACGCTCAAAGTTTACCCCAGAGTAGAAAATAAGATTGAATAGCTCCTGAGCAGAGGAATCCCTGCTGCCTAAGGGAAGGACACTGCCCTGCCTGCAAGGGGAAGGGTATTTGCCCCGCGCCTCGCTACAGCTCCCACTTCTGAGGCAGCAGAAAGCCTCAGTGCCAAACTGCCAGCGGAACTTCTTCACCCGTCCACCAATTGTTTCCTTCCTGCGTGTTTCAAGAGCAAACGCCTGTGGCGGGTCAGAAGCTGCTGCTCTGCCACCAGCGTAAAATATTCTGCTCACAGGCCTCGCTGAAGGCTGAGCCCGGTGCTGCCGGCAGCTGAACTTAAAGTCAAACACGAGCTCCCAAAGGTCTCGGCGTGAGATGCGAGAGCAGCGAGTGTTTGGAGCGAGCGGCTCTTCCCGTCACGGTCTCCAGCAAGGGGCTGAACGGACCAGAAGATCCGACCGACAGCTGCAGGAGAACCACTGAAGAAAAAACTTCACAATTTTGAACACCTCTACTCATGCGAGTTCCCCTTCCACCTAAGACAAAGGCAAACTGGGAAATAACCACGGCTTTCCGGTTACCTCCCGGCCTGCCCGAATCCCTCAGCCACACAAGGCCGGCAAAGAACGTTTGCAGCGCCTCCGCGGCTCGGTCACCACCTTCTCTACGAGCTCTGGACTAAACGAACCAGATATTAGCAGAAACGCGGGAGCAGCATGTTACTGCAACCCCTCCCTCAAACAGAGGGGATGAAGGGGCTTCAACAAGCCACGTTACAGAGCAGGGACCCAACCCGGTCAGTCAACGTGCTTGTGGGACAACAAAACCAATCAAAAGACATTCGTGTAAATGACCATTTCAAGGGAGATAAAATATCGTTGTGTGAAATGGATTTGCTAGCACTCCTCACCAAATTTAGCACCTATTAAATTACAGAAACCGTAACTCCTCTTATACAAAAAAGTCTGAAACTTTCCCTCCGAGATATATTTCATTGTTTTAAGTAGGGCTCAAATGTATTTTCTTCTTTGTGATACATTCCCACATGCAAATTTTTCGTAAGAGATTCAGCAGGTTCTTTTTCT